AACAGTTGGGATATTGGTCTATGCTGATGATGTTGGGTTGACTGCCTTGAGGTGGGGAAATGTGTCCCTGTTGTTTCCAGCAAAGCATGTTGATCTAGGCCAACTGTGGGTATGGCTCACCTGACTCCAGTGTAGTTACATTGGCAGAGAATTTTCTCTATGTATGTATATACATATGTATACCTGTATATTTACATAACATTAATTTAGCAAGACCCCCCCCCAAAAAAAAAAATTGTTAGCCCTGTTTTCTAGCCCACTAATGAATTCAACTGTTCATATATTCCAAAATATAATTGTAATGGTGCTTTCAAAGAAAAAAGATCAATGAGAAATGAGGACTTTTTAAATGCAAAAGCTCACACAGTATAGACAAAACTTACAAACAGTTTCCCCTGCATTTAGCTATCTCTTCATTCACCCCACTGGGGAAAAAAACCCAGCAAAAACCAAACTATATTAAATACAACTGAGTGTCTGGATATTTTAAGTGATGTATGAGCAGAGATTTTCAAAGTGTTTCAGGGAACTTAGATGCATAGGCTATTAACTTCTTGAGAAGCTCTTGAATATCTTCTATATGAAGTATTCAGAGGTTAGAAATTAGGTAAGGCTGAGCTTTTCCAAGCTTTTTAGGAGATTTGGACACCAAAGTTCAATATTTTGTTGTAAGCAGGGTTTCCAAATGTTACATACATCAGAAATGTCTAAATGACTTAGAAGCTTAAGACTCATTGGCTTTCACTTTTGAGAAGTTTATCTCCAATTCATTGTACAGCTTTGGAAATTGTAATCTAGTTACTTTGCATTTAATTCCACTATATGATGCTCCTGGCAAAGAAATAGGAAAGGTGAAGTAATTGATGCAGAATCCAAAGAACTGAAAAGATGAATATAAAGTCTGAAGAAGGCGATGGCAGATGCACAGACTCATAGATTTTAGGTTGGCAGAATAGTACAACAGATGAAATCTAGGCCTCGTCAAACAAATCTGGAATTTGTGCAGTCCAAGATGCCATAAACTCAAATGACCTGCATGTCTGCAGTTCTCTTTAGTTACACTGGGACAAATAACTTAGGTAATGCAGACCAAGAATACTTCACTGCAATGGGTAGTTAGATTGAATTACACCAGCTAGGGTATAAGCATTGCTGCTGTTTACCTCTCCTGTTTTTATGTTTTCTATCAGTGATCATGCAACTGACTGCTCCTCAAATGTACATCCATATGGAAGACTTAATTTTACTTCTTTCCCATAAGGATGGAAGGTTTAATTACCTCTGAAACTCATTGCCACAAGGGGCTGAGATTTTAACGTTCTTTTTAAAGCATTTTTACAAAGAGTTGGACACGTCTGCAGGTAGAAACAACAGCCAAGAAAGTGAGGATTGTCATAACAGGTCACTTGCCTTTTTTGTTTTTAAATAAGTAACTTTCCCATCTTCAATACTGATATATAAATGCTTATCATCAGATTTTCAAAGGTATGTAGGGGGCAGACATCTGGGCCAATTTCTAAAAGTGTCTAGGTACCTTATTTCAATTGAAAGCAATAGGATTTGGAGTGCAGATTTTAAAAGGTATTTGGGCTCTTAAAAAAGCAGATCTAGATCTTGTGGTATATTTTGAAAATCTCCTGGGTGCCTGAGTTTTGAAAATGGGATTTCAGATTTCGAAGTCATTTGAAACATTTTACCCATCATGTGGAAAGATTTCCTCTGCTGTCATTTTCTGAGCAGAGCAGGATGTTTTAGAACAATTAAATCAATATTTTCTGACTGTGCAACCACTCCATAAAAATCTTGCGCATATAACTCTGAAATACTTACGTGGCTCAACTGTCAGCGCAGTGCCTTTCCCAAATATGAAGGGCCATGTAGCAGCACCATTAAAAGGGTCCCTACAAATACTATTATATTTTACCTTCCTTCATTTGAGATCTGGAACGGCACAAACTGAGTCTCTGAACCAGGGTGATATCTCTGTTACAGTTTTAGTTCTTTAAAAAAAAAAACAAACCCAAAGTTTCTCTACTTTTCCAGTAAAGAGAGAGGCAGGATCCAAGCATCACTTTTCTTTCATAGGTACAGCCCATCTACCAATCCCATCTTCTGAAAAGTTGAATCTGTTTTTAATGCTTAGATTTTAGGGCTGCAGTCTTCAAAATCACAGCATCCCAGAGCAATAGGTCTGTTAAGGGACCGTGGAGGTAAATCTAGTCCCATCTCCTGCACAAAGGCAAGAATTGATCTGGACATCCAAAGCCTGTTCATGCCTAGGGAGTCTTAAGCTTCTAAGTCATTTAGACATTTCTGATGTGTACAAAATTTGGAAACCCTGCTTACAACAAATCTCTTAGGGAGTCTTGATAATTTCAGCACAAGGCTAATAACCCATTTTATTTTCAGGGTCCCAGAAAAAATGATTTATGCTTATTATGTGGATATAAGGATTTACCTGGTAACACTGTTAGCTTAGTGCCTTTCCCCAAAGCCAGAGCTGCATACTTGCAGAGCTAGGGGCCCATGTCAAAACTTCTCCTAAGTCACCTGCCTTCCCCTCAGGCCTCCATCCTGACCTGATTGTAAAACAATGCCAGTCCATCAAAGCTAAATGGAGCTGAGGAGTCCTACACCAAAGCTGATCCAAATGCTGTGATCTTGCATCAGAATAAATCATCTCGGCTCCCCTGACTTCACTGGGGCACCTGGTGCTTGGGGTCCAATGGCCAGATGCCAGTTTATACAGCTGAAAACAGCCCATTTATCCCAATGGATTTATGTTGCCCTGTGCCAGATAAAGACCCATCCCTAGGTCTTAGCTGAAAAGAACATTTTTAAAGGTCCTAGATACCAGAAAATTCTCACTATAGAACCATGTAGAAATGCCTAGCTCCTGCAACACATGCACACACACATGCACCCACCCTTTATTTTGATTGTAATTAAAAATATACAGACCTTGTACTTACTTGCTTCCACTTGGAAACAGGTCCCACTTGCAAAGCTGAGCTGATTTGAATCCCATACTGTGTGCACCCAGATAAAACCAACATCTCCATCAGCACTCAGTGGATAAATAAAGGCAAAGGACCAAAATCTGGACCATTATCCCAACAGTATGCATTGTCCAATGCAATGAAGTCTGTAGAGTGACTCTTGCCCTCCAGAAAACAGAGGCATGTATATACTTCCACAGCTAAAATGTTTCAAAGACTTTATTCCATAAAAATGCGTCTGATCAAAGCCTTCCTCTTGGCTCCCCAGGTTATTTCTCAAAATCCTTCTTTCAGGTTAAATGAAAGTAGAGAGAAAAGGAATGCAAAAAGGTGCAACTGTTCCTTCTAAAAAATATAAAGCCTGTATTTGTTTGATTTTTTTTTTCCCAAGGAAATATTGATCTTCTTGAATCTGCAAGTTTTTGTACAAGTTCTTATGGTATTTGTATCACTGTGGTATATCCCCCCAACACAGTGACACACTTCATTACAAAAACTCTCTCTTCCCTTCTTACCGTAACACAGCATTCAGCCACGTGACTGAGCAAGAACCTTTCCAGGAAGCGGAGTGCTTCTTTATCAGATGAAATTCAACAAGGACAAGTGCAAAGTCTGCGCTTGGGACTCAATAATTGAATGTACAAATACTAACTGGGGAGTGACGGAGAAGGACCTGAGGGTTACAGTGGACCATGAATATGCTGAATATGATCCAACAATGAGGTCTTGCAAAACAAGAAATAAAAAGACAGATGGTTGAACCAACCATCAAGCAGCATCCTGATTTTGCATTAACAAGAGTGTCACTTGCAGATCAAGGGAAGTGATGCTTCTGCTCCAATCAGCACTGATGAGGCCTCACCTGGAGTAATCTGTCCAATTTTGGGCACTGTACTTTAAGAAAGATGTGGCCAGATTGGAAAGAGTCCAGTGGAGAGCAACCAATGTGATTAGGGGCCTGGGAAGCATGACTTATGAGGAAAGGATGAAAGAAATAGGGTTATTTAATATGAAGAAAAGATTGAGGGATTTGGTAACATACTTCAGACCTAAAGGGCAATTATAGAGAGGATGGAGATGGGCTTTTCTCTATGATTGTAGGGGCAGGACTACGATCAATGGCTTCAAACTGCAGCAGACAAAATCTAGTTTGGAAATTGGGAGGACCTTTCTGACTATGCAGGTGGTCAAACATTGGAAGGGGCTCCCTAGAAAAGTAGTGGGGGGAATCTCCATCCCTAGAAATTTCCAAGAGCAGGTTGGCAGACACTGGGCTGGAATGGTTTAGTCAGCGATGGTCCTGGCTTGAGCAGGCGGGTAGATTAGACCTCATAAGATCCCTTCGAGTCCTACTTCCATGTGATTACTGCTTCTTTTTCACACTATGGCATGAAGATGAGGGATAATACAGGGACAAATCAGGGGATGACATGCTTGACTGCAGCCCTGCAGAAGAGGGCTGGGGGGGGGGGGGGGGGGGGGGGTGAGAGAGTTATAGCAGAGCACAGTCTGAATAAGAGCGAGCAGTGTAACATTGTTACAAAGAAAGCTAACAGCATCTGGGATGTATTAACAAGAATGTCATGTTTTTGAACCCGAAAGCTTGCTTAATAACTATTCTCCAACTATTTGGGTTCGTCTAATAAAAGATATCAAATTCACCCAAGGAACCTTATCTGCAAGTCAGGCACTTATTCCACTATATTTAGCATCAGTGAGGCCTCACTTGGATTACAATCCTAGAAAATGAGGGTTGGCAGGGACCTCAGGAGGTCATCTAGTCATCCCCAACTATCTCATCCCAGCCAAGGCTTTCTCTAGGTCTTAAAAACCTCCAAGGATGGAGACTCCACCATCTCTGAGGACCCTGTTCCAGTGCTTTACGACCCTCCTAGTGAGAGAGTTTTTCCTAATATCCAACCTAAACTTCCCTTGCTGCATCTTGAGACCATTGCTCCTTGTTCTGTCATCTGCCACCATGGGAAACAGTCCAGCTCCATCCTCTTTGGAACCACCCTTCGGGGAGTTGAAGGCTGCAATTAAATCCCCCTCTGTCTTCTCTTCTCCAGACTTAATAAACCCAGTTCCCTCTGACTCGCCTCAGAAGTCATGTGCCCCACACCGTTTTTTGTTGCCCTTTGCTGGACTCTCCAATGTGTTTGCATCTTTTTCGTAGCAGGGGGCCCAAAACTGAACGCAGTACTCCAGACATGGCCTCCAGTGCTAAATAGAAGGGAGGAATCACTTTCCCTCAGTCTGCTTGCAACACTTCTACTAATGCAGCCCTGTATGCTGGTAGCCTGACCCCTCAGGAGACTGAGAGGAGACTTAATAGCAGCATCAGCTACCTGAAAGGGGGTTCACAAAAGGATGGAGCTGGACTGTTCTCAGTGGTGGCAGATGACAGAACAAGGAGCAATGGTCTCCAGTTGCAGCAAGGAAAGTTTAGCTTAGATATTAGGAAGAATTTTCTCACTAGAAGGTAGTAAAATGCTGGACCAGGTTACCCAGAGAGGTGATGGAGTCTCCATCCTTGGAGGTTTTCAAAACCCAGCTAGATAAAGCCCTGACTGGGATGATGTAGTTGGGGCTGGTCCTGCTTTGAGCAGGGGGTTGGACTAGATGTGACCTCCTGACGTCCCTTCCAACCCTCATTTCTATGCTTCTATGAAATAGCAACAGGGAAGAAAAGAGATGTTCATGCAGCAGCAGTTTCTTCTGAAATGTCAGCCTCAGGAGTTGTTTTCTGTATGTGTGTGAGAGTTTGTGGGTTTGTCTTTTCTTTGCTTCCCCTCCAAGGAACCTTCTCGTACATGCAGGTTTTTGTACAGGTCTCTGCGGGGTTTGTGTCACTGTGGTAGTCCGATCACAGTGATACACTGCTTTACAAAAACTTTCTCCCTCTCTCTCCCTTCCTTAATGGGTAAGGCAGAGTTCCTTGTAGTGTTTGTGTGTGTACAGCCCACGTGACCTCCCACAAGCATTTTCCAATGAAAGTGATTACTCTGCAGGGCCTCTTTCCATACCATTACAGTGTGAAGATTGGATTAATTCTTTTAAATTATCCTAAGGAAAATATGCAAGAGGCAAGGATTTCTTCTACTAGATGAACTGTATAGTTGGGATAGATTTAGACAAGATTTTAAATGCAAGACATTCTTCAGATGGAGGGAGAAAAGCCATCACAGCAATAGTAAAAAAAACAACAAACCCCAAACATTGGAAGTGGGGAGGTCTAAATTCGAAAGCATGTAGACATGCCAGTGGAGGTTTCAAAGCCACCCCCTAATGAATTTGAACCATTAATAAATGCCAGTGGTTTTCAGGTACCCCTAGCACCTTCTAAGCTATTTAGCCAAGTCCTTCTGCAATGTCAGGGACTTTTCTGCTTTTATTTCTTCTTTGACTCTGAGAACATTGGTCTGGGGTAGGTTTGAATGAGGTTGTTTCTGAGGCTTTCTTGCTTTCCATTAATAGTCACTATGCCAAGATCTTGACATGCAGGAAAACAAGCTCTGTGGATGGCTCCTTTAATGCCAGATGTGATCAGCATAGACTGGTAGGGAGTTGACTCCCACTCCTCACATTGCTATGTTAGCTTCATGCATGAAACCTGCTATAAATTCTTTAGCACATTTTGCAATACCTTGCTGGCTGGCTTCTCTTGTTCAGCTAATGCACCATGTTGTTTCACCCCTATGGTCCTCACCTTATTTTATCTTATGATTGTTTTAACCTTGTCTCAAAAGCTAGTAATAATTTTCTGGTGCCTGCTTGCTGCTACTTATACTGTATTCTCTACCTTTGTCTCCAGGAAACCCACAGTTGTGTGTTTTGGGGCTTGGCATTTTGTGTGCGCATGGTTCTCTGGAGGGATTTGGGCTTTGTGTGTGTGCATGGAGAGGTTAGAGGGGTTTGGGTTTGTTTGTGTTTTCCGATTCAAATTTGCTGCTGACAACATTGTTCTGGATGTGGGGAAAGCTTTATAAGGCTGTTGCAGTGTGAAAGAAGGAACTATGCACTAGATTAATTTAACCCTGGTCATTAAGCCTTCTGCTCCTGGACTGGTAATGCTGCCTCAATGATGAGTAGAAGAAATTGTGCACATATTTATCCCTGTGTGTGGTTTAGACTAGTCAAACAGCTTCCATTGTAGCTGTTCTTATCCGCATCAGCTGGGAGCCCCAATCATGAACCAAGGCCACATCATGCTAAGGGGGGTGTACAAATGCAGAACAGGAAGAGTCTCTATGCCAGAGAGCTTGCCACCCAAGCATCAGACAAGGGAGAACAGAGGAATGCAGGTGGGTTTGCAGTCATATGCAAGGAGCTATTGGAAAGCACTCATCAGCAGGATGAGCAAGAGTCTCAGCACCTCTCAGCTTGGTCCTTGTCAAGTTCTTTCTTGCCCTCTTGGCATCACAGCAAAGGAGAGACTGAAGGAGGGACAATTCTATGCTAGGTTGGTTGAAGCTACTCTGGTGTAGGGGGTTGTTGTCTGGCCACTATTCCTCTTATATTGGTGTACTGCTATTTACAGTGGTCTGAATGTGTCATCTCTCCCTGCCCTAAGAGATGTCATGCAGGAAGAACCAGCAAATTTTAAACACTCTGCATATGAGAAACATGTAAGAGATGTCAGAGTCAATGGTGATGCCCAAATTTATAGGCCTAAGTGACAGTCAAGTTGTTGGCATTGGTCCACAGAGATGGTAAGATAAAGCAGAGAGGACTTGAGGGGGGAAGAATTTCTCTTCTTTGGCCCTGAAGCTGGAGCTACTGGCTAGAGCATTTAGACATCGCTGGGAGAGGGATGGATCCAAATTATCACTGGGGGAAAAGGAGATGCAGGTCTGGAGCAGAGCGACTCATCTGTGGGCTGAACTCATGTTTGCAAGTGAAAGTGCCCAAGGAAGGAGAGAGGAGAAAGAAGTGTCTAAGCAGAGCAGGTGTCCCCCCAGCTGCCACAGTGGCTGGTACACGTTATGCACACTGATAAATGAACCTACAAAAACCCAGATGTCTGAGCTGCAGCTCCACTTAGGATCTGCTCACACCATTTGAAGCATGGGGTTCCTCTCCCCCTCCCCTGCACCCAGCCTGTCAGTGACTGCTCTGTGAAAATACCCTGCTTGCAAACTGAAAATCATGTCACTGATATTACTTACATGATCTTCTCATGGGGTATCAGTGTCATTGGCAATCCCTTATGGTCAAGGATTATTGTTACATGGCATAAATCAGCATAGCTCCATTCAGGCCAAGGGAATTGGGCATATTTATATTGGCCAAAGACCTGACCTTGGTATGGAACTAGAATACAAAATAAATACTCTAAGATAACATTAAAACACTCAAATGTTAGCATCAATTAAGAATGTCCTGCTATATTACTTGATCAAATTGGAACTCAAACATTAAAGAGGTTTTTCTAGAGAGTAACAATGGCACGTTGAAAGGAGCTTAACTGAATTACACACCCAAAACCCATGAACTTTCAATGGAAACTTTGTTCTTATGTTCTTGAAGCTTTGTTATATATCTAGCAACATTCTTTTAGAAAAAAGAAAAAAGAAAGAATAAAAGCTTATGCTTACGTCTATTTTTAGTGGCTCATATTGAAAAAAAGGTGGGGGG